GATGTGGGTTCTTTAACTTCCCTTGCCTAACCAAATTAAATAACAGATGCAGGAGACGGGACCTCCGGCTTTACTTCCTATCCGAGAAGACGAAGCAATGTGAGTGAAGCGTCTTGCTTAAGGACACAACGTCAAGCCCCAGCCAGGACTTGAACCCGGGTCGTCTGACCTAGAGTCCACCTTCAAAGAAAAAAAAAGAGTCAGAAAAACTGATTCACTTTAGAATAGTGTATTACTATTCTAACAGAAGAAGCGAAAAATTTCTTATGCCCTCAAACAAAGAGTTTATCCCATGGAAAGTGCGCACGCACGATTTTTATTTGCGAGTTGCTATGCATAGGAATACTTACGAGTGAGCGAAGTGAACGAGTGAGTTTTTTTATACATCGCAATGAGTGAATAAAAATTGTTGAAGTATCTCCCATTGTATGATGTTTTAATTTCATACTTACTGAGATTTTTTCTTACTGACCAAAAAATTTGAAAGATTAGAAGCAGTTTAAGTGTAAGAGCAAATTTAACTATGAACACCGCCAAATCCGCAACGTGGCGCGATATTCAGTCTTTGATGACGACAACATATATTCATTTCTTTTTATTTGTTTACACGCTAATTTTTGACAGAAAGACTTAAGAGACAGATAATCAATATTTTTGAAATTCAATTTATAAATGGCGTCGCGAGATGCAGATGCTTACAATTATGAAGTATGAAAACTTTTAAAGGAAATGACACAGCCTCGTCTTAAAATTAAACAATGCGAAAATCTCCTTGAGAAAAGGCAAATCAAAATGCGGTGGTTCATAGAAAACAGTTTGTATAAAATATTTCTCGTAGTCATTACCATCTTTGGTTCTGACGGTGAGCGCGATTTCGCTTCATTGAGCTGAGCAACATTCCTGAGATCTACCTTCCTTTGTAGAAAGGTGTTCAGTATGCTTACGTCTCTGTCGGTCTTTGCTGTCGTGTATTTACTTTCTATGATATCATCTATTGTTCCCTCAAGGAGAGCAAATCTTGGCACTTCTTTTTCCATTTTGCTTTTACAGAATGCCGTGCGCTTATTGCCTTCTACCGTGAAGCACAAAAGTTCGAGTCTCTGATTGAACGAACGATGTATTTTCATAGTCGTTCGCTTTTCTGATCGGTCGGCTATGCCTTTCGTACGAATTATACGCGGGCTTTTTTTATGTGGAAATCTCAGTATGTATGAAGTAAATCCGTGTACTTTCCAGAACAGATAATGTGTACAGACAAATAACCGTGCATTGTTGCCATAAACCAAGGCTTCTGTGTACATTCCACAGTTATTGATGTCTTTTGCTGAGTGATCAATTATTGGTTTGCCTATTTGTTGAATCATTATCACTCAGTATCTTTGCCATTGCAGTTTTAATTGTAATTATAATAATTATTATTAAAAGCTCTAGTTTTATTTCTCCATCATTGTTTACATTATTATTGTTTCCTTTTTTTCATTTTGATTCAAAAGAACCAATGTGAGCGGTGTGGTTACTCTTCTTGTTGACTCCCAGCTAGTCTCCGTTTTCTGTCACATGGGTGATTTTGGATGCGGAGATGGAGGATGGACGCCGGTTATGAAGATCGACGGCTCCCAGGTGCATAGGTTTATTAATTGATTTACTTCATATATCGCTCATTTTCCAAAGGTTGCAGGCTAAAGATATGCATGTGACATATGGTGGATGATTTTGGAAGGACTATAGAAAAATTACCAATGAGGGGGATCATGGAGATTAAACAGCCTTATGGGAGGATCAGTTTAATGTTATCATGACACAATCAAAATCCTGGTGTTTTTCTTTTTTGTTTTGTTTTGGTTTTGCAATAGGGAGATACGAATTTCTTTAAACGATGGCGACGTCTATCATCTTTATCCACTCTACAAATGATTACTGTTCCAATGACTGTTGATTGGCGTGTAAATGAAAACACAGCAAAACTCCTCATAAATGTATAAATATGTCATGTACTAACCTGGGCGGTCTGAGTTGGAAAAAAAGATCTTGCTCTTGAAGACATCCTGCAATAAAACAAAGAGTAAGGAATTGATTAATGCTGATACACGACAGGGTGTAGGTAGCAAATATCCATCAATTCGGGGAAAATACATAAATTAATTGATTTTTTATTTCAGACCACCTTCCATTATGACGCAGATTATTGGAGCAATTTCGATGCATTCAACCTTCCCGGTGGAGAGACTGGGTTTGACGAACAGGAATCAAAGCTACCCACCTACTGGAACACATCCTTCTCCAAGATCTGTCTTAGTATGAAGATCGATCAACAGCTCAAGTTCATCTTCATAAACAAGCAGGCTGACTCTCTGCACTCACTAATTGCTGATGGCCAATACCGCAACACCACACTGGGTCGTGACGAGTGGAAAGAGTTGATTGGCAGCCAGGCCGCTTTACAGAAAAACTGCAACAAGGAAGGGTTTAATGCCTTTAGTAGTCAAGATGATCGTTCTAAAGTCAGGATTGGTATTGTTAGCAATAACAATAATGACTGTCATTCGTGCAATTCTTTCATTGGATTCGGTACGGGAAGTCACCCAAATGGCTCAAAATCTTGCGGAAACGAGGCGCTCTTCTTTGAGCCACAGAGGCAAAGAAAGAGTATCAAAGCCATGGGATACATTTTGGTACAATAAAACTAAACTTTGTTAACTTAAGTCCTTCATATATGTGAACGATCCTTCGCAGTAAAGCACTATTTGAGCAATAGTGAAAATCAGACCTGAAAAAATTTCAGGCCTGTACGGGATTCGAACCACTGACCTCTGCGATACTAGTGCAGCGCTCTACCAATTGAGCTAACAAGCCAACTGGGAGCAGGCCATCAAATTAATTCGACATAAACCCGTAGATGATAAATCAAACAACAACAAACATATGAAACATATGTATGAACTGCGGTTATGAGACGTATATGTGAACGATCCTTCGCAGTAAAGCACTATTTGAGCAATAGTGAAAATCAGACCTGAAAAAATTTCAGGCCTGTACGGGATTCGAACCACTGACCTCTGCGATACTAGTGCAGCGCTCTACCAATTGAGCTAACAAGCCAACTGGGAGCAGGCCATCAAATTAATTCGACATAAACCCGTAGATGATAAATCAAACAACAACAAACATATGAAACATATGTATGAACTGCGGTTATGAGACGTATATGTGAACGATCCTTCGCAGTAAAGCACTATTTGAGCAATAGTGAAAATCAGACCTGAAAAAATTTTTAA